AGGCTCGCAAGGCAGATTTAGAATTTACAGATTCTATTACTACGGCTATCGGGCAGGTCTCAGGCTACAGGTAGCAGAGGCTCTATTGACAGGACGTAGCTCGAAGAGCTACAAAAGTCAGAGCTGGCGGTTGACAGCAGAATCCGGGTGCTCGGACCAGCACCCGGCATCTGTGCTTAGCCAATCAGAGCGCGTCTGCGCAGGCTCTCTCAGCCAGCGCCGTGACACTACATTATAGACTGCAGCAGCACGGCAATTCCCTTAAATCTGTTTACTTTTAAGAGATTAGATAGTAAGTTGAATATCTAATTTGTATGAAGCTATTTGAGCGTAGTAGTATTAAGTAATTAGATGTTTAGTTTAAGGAGGTGCGCAAGTTTGATGGGGTGCGCCGCTCGCTTGCCTGCGCCGCTCGCTTGCCATACACGTTATATATATAACGAATTAACGAGTAGTTAATGTTAATTTCAAGTCTATTTGCGTAGGATATTAACGAAAATCTCATTTATATTAGATTACACGAGTAACCTTTATTGACGTTACTACGATTCGCAAAGCTTTTCATGTCGGCTCTTGATGATATCTGCAGCCTTCTCACCAATAGCGTATGCGGTTGTCTGTGTATGAGTTCCAGGTATCAATGGGATGATGCTGGTGTCGGCAATGCTGAGGCCGAGCGTACCATACACCCTAAGTTGGTTATCAACAACGCCACCTAACTCGCGTGGCATTAATGCAGCGGTACCGACACTGTGACCATTGGATGCCATGAGTTTATCTTTGTTTAAAAGCCAATATTCCCAGCCCGCATCGTCAATGACAGCACCAGGGGAGGGATCCTGCTCGACAATGTTAAGATCTTCGAAAGCTTTCGATTTAAGGAAGTGCTTGCGAATATATGACTGCATACGGATGTGAATTTCCTTGTCAATGGGGTTGGACCAAATACGGTAATCAAAGATTGGGTCGCCAAGAGGATCAGCTGGGTTGATATTGACAGAGCCGCGCGAGAAGGGCTTGAGCAAGATGCACATACCCCAGCCCTTGGCGCTGAAAGGATGTTCAAGCCAAGCGTTGGTCGTGGATTGGAAAGATGCAAGTAAGATCTCCTTCTGCTTCTTGTATCCCGCAATAAGCTCCTTTGGGGTATCGGTAGGTAGATAGCTTTCAGGTTTTTGATCGGCAATCTGCTTTACTATTTGTTTATACTGGTCGCCAACAAAAGTCGAAGGAGGGAGGAAAGCACCACTAGAAGTGACAGCAGCAGTGTATGGACCCCCGTTGGTTTTCTTGAATATCATGTACGCTTCCGCTTTGTATGTAGCATTCGATGCGATTGTTGTCGCTTTGGGAAACGAGACATCCGTAGTAAGGTTGTACAGGCTAAGCGCCCAAGAATGATCTTGCAGATTCCACCCTACACCAGGGAGATCTATAAGAGTCTGGATTCCGGCGGCGTCGAGTACCTTCTTAGGTCCAATCCCAGAGTACTGCAGAAGCAGTGGGGTGCGTGTGGCAGAAGCACAGAGAACAATTTCACGTTTCGCCTTGACTGTGAAGACCGCGTTCGCCGTCGAGTTGTATCGGCTCCGGATCTCGACACTATTTGCATGCTTCTTATCATCTTTATCAACAAAGTTCACCTTGGTAACTCGATGTAAGGCCAATAAGTGGTAGTTCTTGCGCGGCTGAACGTTGATATAGTGACTCAATCCGGAGAAGCTTCTGTTATACGCTCTTGCTGGATCCATTGAGGTGGGTATCCAGAAAACACCGTAAGCGTTTCCATTGGCATGCTCTTTTTGGATTGGAACATTCCCCTTCTCGACCCAAGCCTTCCAATGCTTTTTCTGGGTAGCAAATTGGTAATCAGGGTAGGCAGCGACCACGGGGCCATCGCTAGTATACGCGGAGGGATCATATGTTATACCCCATTTCTCCATCGCTGTCGTTAACGGTGCAAGAGCAGAACTCTTTTTGAAGTAAGGATACAGACCATCCCAATCCCATCCGTTATTTCCTGGAAATCTGGCCCAATTATTGTAATCTTCCGCGCTACCGCGGTCGAAGAATTGTCCGTTGACTGTTGACCCACCACCTACAACAGCTCCATTAGCTACTGGAAAGGTTCGGTTATTCACATTGCCTTGTGGCACCGATGTCAGGTTATACATGAACTTGGCAGCCGGAGTGTTGTACAACGGCATAAACGAATCATCCTGAGCAAGAGGGCCGTATTCAACCAAGAGTACACTTCCTAATTGATAACTTAGCGATTAACGCTAGAAGTAAAGTTTTTCTGCTTACGCCCGCCATCTTCCGAGAGACGATCAGCTATCGTGGTGCCAGCGGTTCCCGCGCCGACCACAACATAATCATACTCCTTCGCAAGTTCGGAAGCGTCTCGCTTGACCTCAGCCTTCTTCCATGATGGAACAGCTTGGACAACGGTCATAAACCCAAGGGCAAGAGTAAGTGTTGGTGTCATACTGAGTACTTAGAAAAGAAGGCGTGAAAGATGGTATGATCGCCCACTTTTTAGTTAGCGGCCGTTTGAATCTTTGATAGAAGCCTTCGGTTTTTCTAGTCGCGCCCGATTCGATTGCGGAAGTTAGCAGAGAATGTTAGTGGGGAGTCAATTTTAGTTGCATATGCAGCCTCGTTAAGCGACAGAGTGACTCAGCAATCCCTCGCAGGAGTCAGTATATGCGCCGGGATACTTTCATCAATTTAGCGATGAAGCATAAGGAAATATGCAAAAGTTATTTTCGCTACATCCTACTCCATTACCTTACATCTCAAGGAATCGAGATATTGACTCATTATACCTACTACATTCACACTTATCAATAAGTCATTATGCGAACCTAGACATGGTGTAGCTTGAAGTTGCGCCTCACGCAAGCAGTCCCCATACAGATAGGGCTACCCCCGGATATAATAGACTCCCCTGCCTCGCAACGCAAGACATTCGAAAGTTCCGTTTCCTGTTTCAATCTATCATCTTCTTTCGATCGAAAACCTGTATTTTGCTTCTTTGTCGGTGTTCTGTGGTCGGACTCCTATGAGATTAGGTCTTGGGTAGACGGTTTCCAAGTATTGATAGGGAAAGCGGGGTTGAATAGGCTGGGCCAGGGTAGCTATATAGCAATATAGATTTACTCTACATTGGTTTGTGCTACATGCTGTTTCTTCGATGGCTCGTGTCCTGTTTAGCGAGGTCACTGTGCTAGTATGATTACAAAGTACTTGGAGTTTCAATATTTAGTTTGAAAAGAAGCAAGGACAACAGCAGCTGTTGCTCTCGCATACTGAAAGCTAGCAACAGCACGATTGAGTAGGAGAAGGATTTCTGGAAGGCGACTAGGAGCAAGGAGTGAAAAAGAAGTATTACGAGAAATTGACACTAATCTCAGCGTTCGATAGTAAAAGGAGCAGTTATATATTCAAAGGGTCATCATACAAGATCACAGGATTTAGTGTACAATACCTTAACTTCTTAAACTCAATATCTAACTATTCAGGTAAATGTCCCTACGTTACACTATGGGTTTCACCTTGTGACCCTTCCTGTTTTTTCGTGCTGTTTGCATCTCCCACTGTTTCTACGAGTTTAGCTGTGCTCCCTTGCTCTTCCAATCGTGGCTTCGTCGGATAGCTACCTATGGTGACTTGAACACTTTTGTGAATAGCAATATTGCCTCCAGTTCGGCCCGAGCCAGTATATCTCGAGGTGGACACAACGCTGCGTAGAATCTTGGAGCAGAAAAATTGGAGGCCGAGCTTAAGCGACGGCATACATACACAAATAATGCCGACGTATAATTCGATCATAGACCAGAGCTGAGTATCAAGAAAGTCGTCTGCTAAGCTTATCAGAGGAGGCTATACCAGAAGAGAAGGGAGCGGCATTACAAGTGATGTTTGTAGATTTTGCGAAATTGACTAAAGCGTGTAGCCGGATGATTGAAACGAGAGTTACCCTGCATTGATATTAGCATCATTTGAGACACCACGCAAACAGATATTAAGGAAACTTACAAGAAGCCGATACTAAACATGAATAAGACTCCAACTTTCTTCTTCGTAGAAAGATGTAAAGCCCAGATTTGGGGGATAGGCAGGCCTAACATGATAAGGTCTGTAAAGATACTAAACGATGCCGTGACAAACCCAATCGTGTTATTGTTCAGACACTTGCCTTTATGCTCGCCACCTAGGTCCCACTGCCACCAAAAATAACTCACAGGAGAGCAAATAAATATACCTAAAAAGGCAAACGCGGTCGTGTAAAGAAGCGTAAAGACAATAGCAAACCAAACTAACTTGCGGAAATGGCGATCGTTGAATATGCGGAGGTAGAAAAGACCGAAGGCAATCTTGCCAAGTCCAAACTCGATTCCGTAGAATGGTACGGAGATCCAGAAGGATAGCATTGTCAATCTAATGTCCTTGAATGAGACTTTCCACATGTCTTGTCCGAGTCCACTAAGTGCTTCTTAGATCAGCGTTTACCCTTCCAATGCAGTCTCGAAAACGCGAGAACTCACACATTATAGTTGTTAGAGTAAACATAAGTGTATTTATCACCTATAGGATGTTAGTTGCGACAGATACTCAATCATAAAACCTACTAGTATCAAAGCCATGTTCCCGTCGTCGAGCAGTTGCAAGCGCCCAAGAGCGTAATGAGAATAAAATCGCCCTAGGATGGCCACAGTACTTAAGGTGAAAAGAACGGTGTTGACGATTCGATACTGCCCAGACCTGTCCCGAATCGGCACGTCGCACATAACCGTGGTGACGTTCAGGGTCGTTAAAGTCTCTCGAGCAGTGCATGACGTGGAAAAGCAGTCTATGGCGATCAACTGCTGCGTTCTATTGTTGCACCGACAGGACATATCCTTGAGAGGATCGCATATGGAATTGGCGAAAGAGCTGGCGATGCATGTTTGCTAGGCGATTGTCAGCTTAGGTCTGAGCAAGCTGAAAATGGAAATATGCTCACCGCGCAAACTGGTAGGGTAGCTAGCTGATCATGCTGGCCCCAAACTGGAGTAACAGCAACACGGAACACAAAAAGAAAACACAACATCCACGGAGAATACATTGTTCTTAAGAAAAGCAAGTCTGCGGATAAAGCTCCAAGCACCCGAGAGCTGAGAGGACGGAAGGCATGCGCGACACAATAACGAAATCACATTGGCGATGATAAACAATACAAACCACAACTCATATCTTCGCATGTCCCATGGGTCACCTAGGGATTTTGTTAAGCTGGCAATCTAGGCTTTATTTTGTCTTCCGCGGTCTAGCTTCAGGCTCTAGTTACCCAAAAGTAACGAAAGACCTTTAAACGTATCGTTTTACCAGTTAGAGGTTGGTTGCAATTCTTGGTTGAATCCCTCCATATATCATTGGATGGGCGAAGACACCATAGTGGACACTAGTGATAAGTGGGAACTACAGATGTGGCTTACGGGGATGCGGGAAATTTCAGCTGCAATAGCTGAAAACTCGCAAGAACGATGAGTATACCTAAGATTGTGGCTCCATAGCGTGCGCCATGGCTTGGATCTGATCAAGTTTACGTCATAGCCCGCTCTGGTCTTTGCTGTTTTGCTTTTTGACAGTTAGTGTTCCAGATCGAGTTACCTGTTCGCTACGGGCCAGTACGCCACAAAACCTCATGTTTAAATCATGACAGCGGCATTTTAAGACGGAAATGTGGCAAAGTAGATCATAGAGAAGCGCACGGCATGTGCCAGGAGCGGCCTCGTCTTAGAAACAGTAACAATAAACTATACACCCGGATGATTGCTCAAGCATCTATAACTATGAAAAGAACAATTACAAACAAGAACAATCACAACATTGTAGTGCGACGAGGGAAATCCAATGTCCAAACATCCCTTCGTTTGTTTTATGCCATAGGTTGCACAAATTGTGCAATCGAGCTGTCAACGATCACACCTCTTCATGATTAGGGGGATGTATTAAGTTTGGTGGTAGTCATAAAACCCCTGCATATCCATATTTGCTTTTTCCATCAGGGGTTTGTCTCGCCTGATATGCCCCCACCTTTGTGGAGAACACCGACACGAGCCAGCCCCTCGGATCTGCAACTGGTGCTGTGACAAAATCTCAGCCCCATCCACTTCCATCAAGCTTTGCACGGACTGGAGAATGTTCAGCTACAGCCAGCTGATAGTCTACTGCCACAAAGTGGCGCATATAGTATGTATGGTGTTCCAGCCCATGCAGATACAGATGGAGAATCTTTGAAGCCTTATTACCCTCTCTATCTTGCTACCTACCGCGGCTGTAAGAGAGGTCCATGTCTCCTACCTTAATCTCCTTGACTGCAACTGCGATGGCGTCTATGAAAACACATTCTCCCTCACTATCTAGCGTCTTCGATCTCCACTCGCAAGTAGGAAGTTCCGTCCATTCATGAATATGCTTGGTGTGGAAGATGTTCCTCGAGACTTCCTCAAAGTAACCACACCTCGCGGCGCGCGGTGCTTCCTCGATCAATGGCAACCTCTGGCTCTCAGGCATTTGATGACAAAAGGCATATAACATTCCAAAAACAGGAATTGTAACCAGTCGTTAGTATTTCTCGAGAATATTCCGGTCATCCCGCTCCCAACAATTAGGGAAAGAGCATCACGTCGCATTAAGGGGCTCCCGCAGCGTATATTCCAGATGATTGCGGTCATCTCCGATGGGCAATTTGCTAATCAAAACCTGCTTCGAAGAAATGCCTAAGCCGCTGCTTCGGCGTTTTCCTCCCCAAAATGACAAATATAGGGAACAACCGTGGTGCATCATGTCGGGTGTATGTAATGAATTCCTCCATGTCGTCACAGCATCCTAGGCATCTGGGCACGGCTCTAATACTGATTTCTTGGGTGAACTCGATTAATTTGTCAAAGGGCAAGGATTGATAGCCATCCGAGCTGCTGTAAAGAACGTTATCAATTTTAGTCGTCAGTACCTCGAAAGGGCTCGTCGAGCTACTATTGGGAGTGGGGCCATGCATCGTCATGGCATCTGTAGTGGAGCTATACGAGCTGTTCGCCAGCAGCTTACAACACCACACTAAGAGTCCGATATGTACGACAAGATAGTCCTATATCGCTAGACGCACAAGATGCGAAGTTCAAGCCTTTTGCTAGTGACAAGCACTCCACGATAATAGTCAAAACATCGGATTGTTGCCGGAATATACTGATTGGATACCAGGAACAAGTATGAGCACGCAAGCTTGGTTAAGGCTATTGTCAATCATAGCAATTGTTCGACCCGTTATATAACAATATATATGTATATATATAAGGGTAATAAGATCTAGAGCCGAAAACACGGAGACATAGTAGGCTATGATTTATCAAAGAGGTTAGCTCCATGTAGGAGCATACTATCCAGCTCCCTCGCGATGGTATCATTGTCCATCTTCAATTTCAAATACTGCTGTCCCTTCCCTTTTGCTCCTTCCATCCAGACATTTGATCCGTTAGGAAAGACGTGATTGTACCCTCCTGATCCACCATACTCGAACCACTCACCGAGCCCTTGACAAGCATACACTACTGTCAAAGGATCCCATGAATACCGTGATCTGTTGAACCCAATATAATGTTCGAACGCCCTCTTTACCGGATCATTCATCGGGCCTTTTGTTGTTAGGATAGCACCAGAAGATACGGCCTCTCCAACTTTGGAGCCCAGGTACGTTATACGACCTGGCCAGGTGTTGACGACGTGAGCGGTCGCGAGAGGATTATCAGACCAGAAATTGAATTCGTATCCGGAGGGATAGTCACCACCCATGACGACTAGCTCCGCAACTTTAGCCTGAACAAGTTCAACGCCCGACAACATCGAGTACTTGTCCGCTGTTGAATTAAGGAGTATTGAGAGCTATTCAGGTTAATACTACCACTTTCTCATAACCTTCTAGATGAACGTGCGCAGCTTACATTTTCTAGAAAGCCGATACTCGCAATGGTCACGCTGTTGTCATCTTGCTCCGAAAGCACCTTCCGATACAATTCCACGGGAATCCAGGCATCTTCAGGTTTGAACCACGGTAGAGAACCACCGGACCAATGATAGGCCACCTTGCTTGTATACTCGCCTAGTTCATATGCCCAGTCATCAAAGAAAGTATCGTTTGTGATAGGTCGGCGGAGGCCAATGGGGATACTTGGATGTCCGTAGTGTGCAAGGAGGGCCGAGGTGGCAAGGGCAGAGTACGAAGAGGGATAGTTCACATTTACGGCGAGAAGAGAGACGCTAGGGTCAGTCGCAGCGAGAAGAAGTGCAGCGGCGTCACTGGAGAATGCAAATTAGCATCGATGCGTCATCAAGCAATAGTTTACCGCGTACTCAACATCGCTGAAGATATCCGTGTCAATAATCAATGCTTTTCGATCTGCAACTGCAGCTGAGCCGGAGAGAACGAGTGAGACGAGTCCAAGCGTGGGCAAGAACCGTTGTGCGGAGGCGAAAGTATCGAGCAAATATGCCAAAGCTTTCATTGTGAGGATTACTTAATGAAGCTAGGTGCGCTTAGGAGGATAGTGCAATAGTTGCAGAGACTCAAGTAAAAATAAAGCTGCAACACTGAAAAATACTATGGCTGTGTGAAATGCAAAGCACAGACACGCGGGGTGATTAAGGTAGCACAATGCATCATGACGGGGAGATGAACGAGAATAATAACCCGGATAATACCAGTCCTGTCCAGGACGATTGCGAGGTTCGAATGATATTATGTACACGTACGTACGTAAGAGCTTTATCAATGTAGCGGAGTAGACGATCGGGCGCCAATCAGAGTCGAACAGAAAATGCAACTACCCCGGGTTGAAGACCCACTTTGAATCTTTGAAGATTCGGCGGAACGGGATTTTGAACTCACAGCGCTAGTGGAGCTAGGTCTATCTACTTAAGCTCGGTAGTACTATGGTGGTACTGCTATAGACACCCCTGTAGGCGAGAACTTCAACAGCTACCTATGTAATATGCTTATTTAAACAGTCGATATGATAGTAAAGCCTCAAATATGCTACTGAATGACCTACGGGGGACGTAACTGAGATCTTCTACTTTGTAACGAAATTCAACCGTAAAGTCTCTTTGCTAGGTACAGCATGCTGTTCAACCCCACCGGCGTTGAAATTGAACGGCGAAACTAGACACATCCTGAGAGCACAGGTCGGTCCATGTGTTGACAACTTCTAATCCAGATGTAGAATCTATCTCGTGTTTCCTAGCTTTCCTGGCTTCTTTAGCTCCTTAGGTGATTTTTCTGCACTTTCTCCTTACATATTGCCTCCGCCCTTCGGCCGTTCACAAGATAAATACAGAGTATTCCTCGGTGTTCTCAAGGCCCTCACACTTGCTTCATAAATCTGACCCGACGCATCGTTGCCCTCTGCACTATCAAGTAAACGTAACCTTATACCACTACGTACATTATCAATCAAGCTTAGCGAATACAAGATGAAGGTAAGGCTACCACGCCTCATTGGATTTTTCAGCTACATCCAACTGACAATAGATTAGGGTCTCGGTGTCGCTGCTGTCTATATCATCGCTATCTGATTAGCTAAGCTCAATGCCTGTGCCAGCAGCTACAAATACTGTGCTTGCTCTGATAATGACACCAACAATGGGTTCGACTACGCTGCGACTAAGAGTAACTGTACAAGCATCAAAACTAGATATCTGAGGTGGTTTCATGAAAACAACGGCGTCAAGGGACGCTACTACTGCAAGACATTAGATTCGTCCAATTATCCGTGGAATAATTGCAAATGGAAAAGGGAGTGCAACAACGGCCACCCTGAGAACTGTTGGGGCAAGGTTCACTGGTAATGGCATCTGTCACGGTTTGGCTTGCAATAGCTAGGGATGCTCACGGCCATTCGCTAGGGATGTGCCGTCATGTAACAACAGGCCGCTTTCGATGCTCTCTTAGGAGAGCGGAGAGATCAATCAGGGCACAATTAACAGGCGCTCATTTAACGTATTCAATGTACTTTAAGGAGCATCCAAACACTAGCGTTTCTTACTATCTTGTAGTACTATAGAGAGCATTGAAACTACCATTGCCGTTGATCTACCTAGCCAACATCAGGCCAATTTTGCAGTCGCTTAGCACTCGGGAATACCTCCTACAGCAGGTTAGTATTTTAATGGATGATACTAATGACATCGGGCCGTAGACTTACCACTCCAGGTAACATAGTAAAGAGACACCCAGTTATTGTTCGCGACTCCACTTGCCTGGAGCTTACCCCAGAATCTAACGTAGACAATTAGTTACATCCCCCATCCGGCCTTCGGATCATTACGTACGGATTTCCATTGACGACAGTCGTATCCGTGTCTCTGAAGCACCGGATTTGGATACGTGTTCCACGTGAGTACTGGCCATCGGCCGTGCACGAGGTCCGCGGGCATTGACGATGCTTGAGCGCATCAGCCGTGACGGTGCCAGTGATAGCCCGCTTCTCCAGACTGCGGGCCTTGATATCCTGGAGGACGGGGAGCTCGCCTTCGACTTCTGGGGCAAAGAGCAACGCGCCTTCGGGTTCGGCCGTGGGGGCAGAAAGGGCCGTCAAGGGCAGGAGAGTGGCGATGGCGAAAGTAGTAAACTTCATGGTGAGGGATATGGAAGAAGCTGATTGCGATTGAGACAATTGAGAAAGTAATCGTCTGAAAGGTGGTGGTTATTTCCTTCTGGCAAGAATCAGCACTGGTTTTATATCTGCCATCGCCCCCCCTCTCTAGAAGTTGCTACTCTCAAACTGGTAAACCTCAGGATCAAGCAAAGGTCTCGAACCGCTTCAAAATACGAAGTTTACGAGCCCATAACACCTTGCAGCGGAGTATCTTATCCGCTGCGCTATCTCCAATATCACATTTAGCCTCAGCAAGTTTGACAAGGAAGGCTGGAGAAGAGGCGCCAAGGCTTATGCTCGATATTGGACCCAAGGGGGCCAATACTTCGCATTGCTCGTATACCCAGGTCCCATTGAACGACATAACATGAAATTTCCTTCAGCTGAATGAATCCTGGCAAGTGGCTGCAAAAATTGTTCCATTTGCAGCGCCTATACGGACCGGCAAAATGGGCGAGTCTATGAATGATAGTCAAATCATGGGATGGAACTACAAGACAATGTCGCGCATCCAGGCGGCTAGGCTCACTCACGTGTTGTTAGGCACATAGTTATCCGAACCTTCTGTTACATCTAGTTAGTACAAAAACACTAGCCGTAGGGGCTTTTACCGCCAAAACAATCTCATAACACGCGTAGGTGTAGGTGTAAGTCCGTCGTCCGCTAACCTTTTATACCTTCACTCTTTAGTAGCGCACATCTTGTAACTACGTAGGTACCGTGGTACTTGCAAGACCACTAAATAAACCACTATTCCAGTAACAAAAGATCTCAATTGTGGCCCAATGATTATTAAGCTAGATGGTCTTGGACTTCCAAGTAACAATGGCAAGCATCCATCTCTCAGCTAGTGTGATAAGTGAAGCGGTTATTAGATTTATTACCCCGCTTCGCGTGTTATTCATAGCGATTAGTGCCCCAAAAGTCTGCACAAGCTACCAAGGACATGCAAACTATTCCATTGTTAGACTCCATACAGTTAGCATCTGTACCAGACCGGAACCTTACGTAGTGCGATATAGATCCCAGCGATACTACTCAGCTCATGCAATACTACCTTGTTACTCCTCCAAGGCAGTAAAGCGATTGCTTATTTGGGCTCTAGAAGGTGGCACGATGTAAATACAAGGTCGCCGGATTGAATTCCGTGTCCAGGTCCTAAGCGTCATTTTTAAAAGACAGCAATGGAGTCCTAGCTACCACTTACTACATGGCATGCTATCCACAAGCTCATTGTGTAAAGTCCAAGTAACCCATTACACTCCATTGCTTCCTCAACTATCCGCGACAAAAAATCTAGAACGAAGAGATCAAACTTCCCACGCAGCTTTCGCGATAGCATACTCGCTGTACCCCTGCAAAGCATCCACCATCCACTTTCCCTCGGCAGACTCATCGCGCCCGAGTACTTGCCAAGCCATAAGAGCCGCCCACTGAACAACCGGAGAAGTAAACCCCGTATCGCCGCGATATCTTCTTTGCTGCAGATACCCTGGTATACTTCGTGCGATATCGATGCCTGTTGCATGAATGAGATAGAAGGTATCGCTGGTTTCCGTTCCCGGGAATCCTGACTGCGCGCGTAGCTCTTTAGTTTCTTCGACGATCTGAAGTACGTGGATCATGGCAGTGTTGTAGAGCATGAACATACGTGCGATGGAATCGTTGCGGAACTTGTACACCGTCCATAGTGCTTGCGGAGCACCTGCACAAATGGCTTCAAAGTCATCTTCCGTGGTACAAGAATTCTCCTTTTCGTTGTCCCATTTCTGTTTCCAGGTTTGGAGGAACGTAAGTAGTTCCCCGGCTTTTCTTTGAATTTCTTCGATCCTTTCTAAACACACGCGGTCATGCGGGCTGATTGTGCTGGGAAGCTCGTCACTCGCGGCAATCAGGACCGTGCAGTCTGCCATTACATCGTGCAACTCCCTTTCTTCTCTTGTTTCAAGTGAGAGAGGCGTTCGCAATACGGCCTTCCATCGATGCCTAGCAAGAATGGATGGAGATCTATTTCGCAACGAAGCAAGCAAAATCATGTGACGAACACCTTTGTACAACTCGAGCGTTTGGGTTGAAGCATATGCCAATGAACCGGGGTCACGAAGTGCTATGAGTTGCTCTAGCCCCAGCATATGTTTTAGCCAATTTCTGGGGCCACTTGGCAAGCACATCTCAAGCATGGCCATGATGGTGATGACGTTGATGATGTCGTCTCGTTCATGACATCCCGGAATACTGAGTGCTTGGTTCAGCTGCCGAAGTGCGACACCGTGCATGTCGTAACCCTTGGCGAGGATGCGAGCCTGGTGGTGTTGGGCGCCAAATAGTAACGTAGCAAACGTCAAGGCAGCTTGGTTGAACAAAGGATTGGTACCTGCACCTATGGTTGGATATCGACTAAGAGCAAGGTCAGAGGTCCGAAGTTGTTGTAGTCCCAGGTCAACGGGGCCATTGGGATAGAGGTATTGTCGCAGATGACATATATAGACTTCGTACTCGTTGAATCTCAACCCTATATGTTGGGGTGAAGACTGATATGGTGGAGAGACCGAAGCCAATTTCTCTACATCCTCTGTCTTCCATTCAGGTGTCGTAGTCACGTCTGTCGTTTTCTTTGATGAATGCTGCGTCCGTCTGGACTTGACAATTTTGCCCGTGACGAACACGAGTGTCCTGGGACCGTCGCAAGCGATACCCAGCTTTTGACATTTTTTACAAGTTGGCTGTGTCTCGTCTTGCGCAGATATGTCAGCCTGGCATTGCGGGGACGCGCACAAGGACATTGCTTACCACATTTGATGCGGCGTTTTCGGCAGTTCGAGCATCCTTTGGAACGGCCAGCTACATTGACCATCGGTAGTCATGGGCTTGATACAACGCAAACGGATATGGTAATTCGTACGAGATGATTGCAACCGAAGAAGGTGGGTTGGTTAATGCGGGCACTGATGCAAGTCAAGTCCGTTGAGTTAGGCGGCTATGCTGGGTGTAAGATGATCTCGCGCATTGAGCCGCAACAAGACTAGCGCAGACTGGATGCCTCATATCTCGCATCACGGGTCTACTTGGACACATGCAATGTAGATGATAACACAATTTTGTGTTGTTACAGGATGTTCGTTTCCGCGAAAAGAGCCGCAATAGGTAGGGTCTTCTTTCTTGTGCACTGTTACTTAAACATCATGAGTCGACACATGGATGGGGCTTTCTCTCACCTTCTACACGATATACAACATCCTATCTCCCAACAATCATCAGACACAATACTATCATCTTCACCAAATCATCTCGCCATCAGCCCTATATTCACCGACTCCTAATCCATCCCGCCCAAATTAAAAAAAAATGTCAATAGTAACAACCATCGACATCGCCTCACCCCCCTCGCAAGTCCGCGACAAATTCCTCGACTTCGCGTCACTATCCAAATGGCACACTTCCTTCTTCTCATCCATCGAACCACACGGTACCCTAGAGCCCGGACAAAAACTCCTCGTGCATTTTGCAACCGGTGGACAAAAAATGAACCCCGTGATACAAGTACGTTTTTTTTTTGCCAGAAGCACCCTGACTATATGTACTCTCGCTAACAGAATGTACTAGCAAAACACACCGACTACATTTGCATGGACGGGAAGCATACCATTCGTGTTCACGGGTACACATTATTTTCGGTTTGAGGAGAGTACAGCGGTACCTGGGGGTTGTCGCTTGACGCAGAGTGAGGAGTTTAGCGGAGCGCTGGGGTGGCTCATGGGTGGGAGCGCTGTAGCGAAACAAGTGGGGTTCGCCGAAAAGACAAAGAAGGGATTCGAGTTGTTCAATGCGGATTTGAAGACTGCTTGTGAGAAGGGTACCTGAGCCGAGAAAACATTGATTTCTTTTCTCATTTCTAAGAGAGGCTATCTTTCACTATAACGCACACGGGATTTGTTAACGGTAGAGGTAATAATTGGAGTCATTATAGATAGACTAAACTCATTATGTAACTTTTGATTGGGATATCAGGTCATAATCATCTAGTACAATATCATGTCAGCCATTTCTCATCAAGCTTTAACCATGAGGCCCCAGCCCTTGAAGGCCACCCGCGCACATGTAAGTAGTGCCGCACTACTAAACAGCAAACAACCTCCATATATCCACAAATCGTCGAAACCGCCGTGTTCCTGGATTGCACCTCCAATCGGTGTACCGACAAGCAACCCTATGGCTACAATGCCAAAGCTTTGGCCGAATCTAGTGCCGATCTTGTCTCGCGCGTCGGCACTGAGGTGTACAATAATGGTTGGGGGCAGGCTGACGAAGGAACCAGAGAAGAAGCCGTAGAATGCCATCATCACGATGATACCTGCTGAAGAAGAGACGGCCATGAAGCAAATGCAGAGAAGACCGGAAATTAGTGCGCAAGGGATTACAACATTGATTGGCCCAATCTTGTCAGACAACTATGCGCATGACATCAGTAAACGACGACTTGAGCAAAACGGAAAGGAAAAAGAACGTACCACATTGGGAAGGATTCGGCCAAACATACTGGTACTGTTCATGACAGCCAGCAAGTAAAACGCCAGCCCTTCACTCGTGATTCGCTCTTGAATCGCGTACACCTGTCCAAAAAAGAATGGCATATACAAACCCATGAAACCCAGAAAGAAACCCGTAACCTGCAGACTGTATGCAGGAATCAGGAAAGCACGCAGGTCAAGCAGTGAGCGCGTCTTCGCCGGCAACACGCGCACGCGCATGCACACATTGGGTATGACCATGGTGGCGAAGATGATGAAACCGAGGACTCTGGTGGTCCAGGCGAATCCAATTTGCGGGAGAAGTTTGTGAAACACAATGGGGTATATAACACCACCAAAAGAAGAGCCGGATGCAGCAATGCCAATAACAGTGCCAATTTTTGTACTGAAGTAGGTGGAAAGAATGGCCACGCTGGGCACAAAGAGACAGCCTGTTCCGATACCGATGCAAAAAGCCTGAGCAAGAAGGACCTGCCAGTATGCGTGGCAGAGACTCAGCATCATCTGTCCGAAAACAAGCAGGAAGCTGCCGACAAGGAGCAATTCGCGGAAATAGCCAGCATCGTAGATGGGGCCTGTAAGGGCACCGACCATCATGAGAAGAAAAGCCTGGATGGAGCCTATCCACGAGATGGACGATGCGCTTGAGTTTGGGAGGAGTGTTGTTTCGTAGTAGGCCTGGTAGGAGCCAAATGTGTTGATAATGCCCCACGAGTTGAAGAGCAGGAAGAAGCCACCGAGGACCTGGAGCCAAGCCCATAGACCGCCATTGGGGATTTTGGAGACATCGCGTACGCTTGGGTGGGCGGAGCGAACTGGTTCCAAGTCTGCTCCTGATTGTTCGGTGCTGCTGGACTCGGTCACGTGTTTTTCCTGTTGTGGATGTTCGTCTACTGCCATTAGACCTGAGCTGTGCACTGAATCCGACGAGGCAAGCGATGGCTGGTTGTCTGGCTTCTCGTCAAAGTTCAGTGATGGACTCAATGCTGGTGCAGCATAGCTGGCTTTCCCTGGTGATGAGGGTTTGGTATGGTCCATGGCGGACTAGAGGTGAAAGAGCGTAGGCGTATCGATGTCAATGGTATCACAGCGATAGAGATGGAATTTGGTTGCAGATATGGAGTAGTAGCGGTGCCTATCAAATAAAACAACCTGTCAACAAGGGCGAAGAGGTATTTCAAGTGTGGCCGAACCGGTGAGTGCATGACAGAAGGCAATCGGCAAGACAGTAGAGATGAGTAATGCCAACAGACTGGCAAAACAAAGTGGGTCGGGCGGCAACTAGGGAAGGAGCCATGGTTTGGGGAATGTTTCTGCATTTTGCTCGCGTCTCGCTGTAAGATATGGCCGAGGGCAAAGCACAAGGACATGCACAAACGCGAGCACCAACGCCACAAGCGCGGTGATTCGAAACGGGCGTGCGGCATGCCGAGTACGGACGGCAGCCTGCCGTGGTGGGGCATGTTACTTTTTTGTTTTCACCGACTCTCTTTTATCCAGATACTGTCTATGTATGTCCATATCCGAGCACATACTAGGCGAACCCTCCGCGGGCCATCTGTCGGCTAGCAAACGAGAGCAAAAGGGTCTCGGAAAGCACGTCATGAAACCATGTTGTGTGTCATTATTCCCGTCTGGAAGGCCATGATGGAATGACCCATGACCAATGGCGGATGACCAATGGTTAATTCCCGGGGCGCTCTAGCATAGCGTGGTTGGAGCATTCTGCCGTCCGAGGCACCCGAGGCACAGGGCGTCGGCAGCACAAACTGATTACTCTTCATCTCGCATCACGTGCCGTCGTGCTAGGTATTCATCACTTTCCTAACAAGATGAACATCCAAGGGGTGGGGAGACGATCCACCTCCACTTCTCCTTGGTTCAAGGCTCTTGACGTTGCACTGCAACAATAGTCGGTACTAAAAAGATACTCTTACAACCAATCAAATACAAGTCGCCAAAGCGACACCTACGATACACCACCTGCGGCTTACGACCCGCAGTATACGAGCAACTTTGTCAGAAATCCTCTCGACAAAGAATTACTCGCTTTTCCAAGCGGCCTATCGAGGCCTCAAGACTGCGTCCCTGTTTTTTGGCCTTTGCCTGGCCCGAACTAACCTCGCACCCAGACGCCATCCTTGAAGAAAGAAGAAGTATGCCGTACTATTTTTACAGAACACTGTTCCGCTAACAATGCTGTCGTGTTCCAGGGGGAATATGCTTCGTCATGTCGTTTCGTGCTTTTAGTAGGAAAGGCCGTTGATCAGCAACTCGTCCCTCATGTCCACGCAAAACGCCCTCAACGCTCGCTATGCTACATACTTTATAAAGATAAAAAACCACACGCCCAGAATGATCCTGTATTTCCAACACAAACTGGTGCACAAAAATCGCCTCGGTACACTTGTTCGAAATCACAACAAATCTGCTCGAGTAAAGGTATCGCAGCCCCCAAACAAAACAACCGAGATAATTACCAAAACATCCACCACGAATACTTTTATCCATCTGGAAGCCCTGTCCATGCCCCGCTACCACTACACTCGTCTGGCCGTCAGCCGATAGCCAGAAGGATGGAGCGGTGATGGTTCCACCTGCTCTACATTCTCTTCAATGTGTAGGTTGTTCAAGCTTGACATGGAGCTGTCTGGAACCTGAGTCGACTGACTTCGAAGTGCCTTCTGTCGCCGACTTTCCCGCTCATCAATGACATCTCGTAGTTGCCTCGCAACCTCATTCGGGCTAATCCGTTGGGCCGCCGCTTGGTTGAACAAGTGCTCAATCAGCGAAAGAGGAAGGGAAAGGAGAATAGTCGAGAGTACCAAGGTGGGGTAGCTGGATTGGGCTTGAACGTCATCTTCAGGTGGTGCATCGCCGAACCGAATTTTGCTCAATCGAGGATTATGGGCAGGCTGACGAGACTCCGCAGGCGCTACTGTTGGCAGACGTGGTGCGTCCTTGAGTTCTGGTGCAACTGCATGTAGCTTGAAGTTGACTGGGAAAAAGTATGCAATGAATGCAAGGGCATGGTTGATCAGTGCAGTCACAAAAGGATCGTCAACGTCGGTGCTCAGCGCGTATTGCAGAACGAGATCTACGGTATCCCATCGCAGCAGCATTCTGGCGGTATGAACGCCACGAGATTGCATACTGGGTATCTGTAGAGTTCTGGCTGCAGCAATGTAGCCCAAGACTTGCTGCATGCGGCGACGAGCTTCAGGCGATGGAGATGATACAAACGGCTCAAGTCCGTACAAAAATCCTTGAGGACGGATAAGCGGCGCGCCATACAAGACTCGCACGGCTTCTTCCAAAGAATCATGGGTTGCCAGAGGGTCCCGCGCAAGGATGGTCACTGGGCGCGCGTCCCTGTTACTATGAGAAGGTGCAGGACTGTGGCGAATAGCTTTTGCAATGACGGGACTGCGCATCACAACGATTCCGTGCACTGGTAGCGACAGCAGAATAGACTCAGGAGACCTGATGTGAAGGATGAAATCGGCAAGCTCGGCGTTGCCAAACTGCGAGGACAAGTAGCCTGCGAGCTCAAAAGAAGACTCGACCCGTTCCTCTGGAGGCGCATCCTGATGGGTAATTGGGTACTGATCGTCTACATGCTCAATGGTAGGCATTGTCTCGAATTGAACTTTGGTTGGCGACTGTGAATGGGAATTGAGGGCTCCATTTGCAGCTAGGGCAGCCTCTCGAGGAGAAAAATGGCCATTGTAGGGCGCTGGAAATGCCTGAGGGCCGTTTGAAAAAAGCGGGGCGTGATAATCAACCCCGCTCTGGTAGGCAGGGTCGGGCGGCGCAACTGTATGCGGAGGAAGGTGCCAGGGCGCTCCTTCTGGTGTGTACTGGGTGGGACCGGGGAAGAACGGGGTAAATTGCTGGGGCCCAAAGCCAGGCGGAGGTCGAGGCAAAGCATGCACATCGACATCAGGTTCGCGGGGTGTGATGGGAATGGCCGACGACTCGTTTGCACTCTGTGATACTACAGCACCGCCGCTCAAGTGGGTACGGTGCGTTGGAGTATACGTGGCGTCGCTTCCGTTGACGGGCGGTGTTTGGGTGCCTGCCTTGCTCGAAGGGACAAAGGGCGGAGGCAGATAGGTTGGTATGGTGAGTTTGCGGTGGGCGCCATTCACACCTGGCTTGGACTCAGTGCGGGGAGTGCGAGGTTTGGCGTTGGCGTGGCCATTGACCGCACGGCGTTGATTCTTTTCTACATTTGCATAGCTTAGTGCGTGCCCCATGCTGGCAGTAGCCCATATTGAATACCCACCAGAAGTGCCTGCAGATGGCGTATGTCCATTTGATAGCTCCCCAGTGACGCTATCCGACCGAGGTGCACCTGCTCCATCTCCAGTGATATCGGCAGAGGCCCTCGAATCGGGGGTAGGAGGCATGTCTGCGATGGCTGCTTGGTGTCCCTCTGAGCGTACATCAGACTGATGCTGTTGCTGCTGCTGCTCTGGTTGCAGGTCGGTCGGTGGCACTGGAGTGCCTTTGCTGGACTCTTCAGGCGTAATGGGCCTCGCTGATGGCTGGGCTTTGGATAGGCGGTAAGGAATTGCAGGTACGATGCGCGAGCCTGGGCGGCGGTGGTGCGTCTGCGCCGAGTGTGGGCGGGAGGGATCGGCCATGGTTGGGCGAAAATATGACGGAGACGGGATAGACACGGCAGAAGCGGCTCCAGGTAATTGCAGGCTCGCGGGTGATGCCAATTATCCTGGAGCGCCTGTGGGAGAGGGGAATTGTGTGGGCGGCGAAAGTAATTGCGGGGTGGGGTCAAGGGCAATTGGGAACAGAACAGATGGATGAGCCCAGGCAGAGCGGGAGACATGGCTTGCTTCCCCACTACCACACACCATCGCCTGTGCCTGCCTGCTCTTGGGGGATCGCGCGAGGCCCAAGCTTCCTTTGTCAGCCGCCGATGACGAGATGGGGAGGCACTGGACGACTATTACATACACCACGATTAGTCACTATGCCTCTGCCAACTACCATCCACGATGCATGCAGACACATACACACACAACGCCGGTGGCATTCGACGCATCCATCTATCCATCCATCCCAGTCCATCGGGATGCTATCTTTAAAACCATCGCAGAACATTTCTTACTACTACTATCATCTCAACTGACGCAACAGCGACCAAACTTCCAGAAACAGCAATCACGTGATGGACGTCCCCAGCAGACACAAATAACCTCCGAGTTATACAAGAGCGGCAATGCAAATGCATCCATCTCACCTTCCTCGTACTCAACTAGAAACGGCTAGCTCTATCACATGACAATCCCCCCTTCCTTGCGTGTACTACACACAAACACATGCTACAGCTTGCATGGCATGAGCGATACCATGGCCTTCACAAGCCAAATCCCCACATCCACGCCCATGCTATCTTCTCCGCGGTTCTCCCTATATTTCCTAGACTAGCACCCCCTCTTCTCGCACTACTAGCATGATCCTAGGACAAAAAGCACCATTCTCTTCTTGCGATAACATTCCTGCGCAGTCCCTTTCATCTGCGCATCGTTACAAAGACAGCGGCCACCCTTCATGGAGTTGGCTGCCCGGTCACAGCCCGGAGTATGAACTCACTCCCACTGGTACCTTGAATCTCCTCCCTTGCTGCGATACACCAAATCTGAGGCTGGCATAGCAAACAGGTTCAGCATCCTAGCAGACCCTGGCAATTCATCGGCATATTCACCATGGCATTCCAACGCATCGACCTCCAATGCCAACTTTCGGCGGCGGCGTAAACGTGCCGGAAAGCGCCACAAGGTCCAGAGAAAAAGTGCTGGAATTGTAAGGCTGCCAACAACGGAGAGTATCGTCGCACTTGGTCATGAGATCTCCACACTGTGTCTCGAGGATAAATCGTTCGCTACCGAGGACCCTCGAGGTCTAAACCAGAGTCGATGCCTCCCAGACGTTACCACCAGCCGTTGCTTTGCAATCAACGGGTCCGACTGGCCGCCGCAGCTACAATCAGATACACTACCCACCCCAATCCAGTTCACGAATCCACCGCCGCCGAGTGTGAAATCATGCGCGTCAGTGGAAACAACACTTGCCTCGAGTTTCGAACCGTCAAGCGTGCCACAAAAGCAACCACAGTTGTTTGACCTTTCACAATTCCTTGATTACCACGACGCCATATACCGTTGGCTGTCCAAATCTGCATTCTCGCAACCTTTGGTTACACCAGAAGTCTCCCAAGGTTCAAATAGTCTTGCCAATTCGGCACTGTTATTCCTCGCACAACAAGAGAAACCGGCAGCTGCAGCTTGCGGACACACCTTCAGGAAACCTTTGTCCCCCGTCCCCCCATCTGAAGACGCCTTTGACTGGCATCAGACAGTTCTAGCTACACTGGGTTTGAGAGAACGCCATCTCGTCACCACCCCCTTCCAGGCCCCTGGGTTGAAGCTTCCATTCAAACACTCAACGCAAAAATTCATGGACGCACCACCCATTTCCGTGTCTACCGGACATGGAACAAAAGATCACCATGCTAAGGAGACCTGTCGACGTCTACCGCTTCCACTATCATGCTTGCAAGCATTTGGGGGTTTCCGATCCGCATCCAACCCGTTCCTGTACGACAACTGGACGGTACCTCGGCCAACAATCCCATTGCCACTGCCTCTGTCGGTGCTCCATCCTCCTCAAAAAGCGTCTCCGATAGATCCATTTCGCATGGCTAGAATGGAGTCTCACCCATTTTTGCACAGCGATACGGCTTCCATGGGTCATTCAAATGGATATTGTCCTCTGACAGCAAGTTTCACATGTCCTTGTCTCTCGAAAAACTGGGAACCCAGAGGTGATGGCCTTCCATACCTATCCGGGCCCGCCGGCAACTTGAACATGCGACATGATAGTGGCTGCACTCTGCGTGTTGAGGCCATGTCAACGCCTAACGAATCAACGACAAGCAGATCCCCTGACGAAGTCCGAGCCCAACAAGTCGACTCCGTATTTGCCAATCGAAACCCATGGGTAAATGGACGCCTTCGCTCGCATCCTCCTATATCTAGCAGATACTGTCTGGACTACTGGACGAGGGTGGGCTCGAAATATTTGCAAAATGATATCCACCCCGCTTTCATAACTCCCAATCAAGAGCTTGAACCAGAGGAAGAATGGGTTTCTATTTCTCGAGAATTCGACCGACCCCCGAACGAAGACGATATAGATGGCTTTGTGAGCGTGGGCTCGGACGAAGAGTACGAAATGGTGCAGCGCAATACCACACTCTATGACCTCGACGGATGGGAATGTATCGGCCATTCTCTCATTGTCGAAATTGTGTCTTGTGACTTTGACGAGGACGATTATGACGAATTCTTGTAGAAAGAGATGGCGGGCTCGAGAGGCTAACATGGAAATGACGGGTGAGGCGAATGTCAAAAGGGTGGATACCATGGTGAGGCCAAGAGCATTGTCTACTCGAGATTGGACATGGAGAGGAGAGTATAGGAAGAATCAGTTGTGTCGGGCAAGTGCTCGTGCATGGTCATGGTTTAATTCACGTAGCCATGTCCTGCTTTTGAATAGTAGTAATAACACTTGAGAGATACTTAAAATTAACCATCTTTTCCTTATTCTCTTTCATGCAAGCACATACCTGTATACGTGTACATGTATAACTGTAGTTCGAGTGATAGAACTGACTAACAAATATAATGAAAATTGAGCAAGGTTGAGATCGCATCTGCCTCTTACGCTTTACACTACTGCTAGCAATAGCTTCTTGTACAGTATCATGAAGAACAAGGAAACATTGTTCCCTGCACTTGTAATTTCATGACAAAATGAGCAATGTATTAGAAAAGAGATTAGGTGAGCACGCAGGACATGTCAGAGCAGCGGATCGGTTGTGGAGACCAACGTGTGGACGGGTAATGGGTATACAAAATTCGTTATCCTGACTATGAAATGCAGATACCAACGCCCAAACAAACGGAAGATTCATCAAAGCTAAGCAACGTTCACATGACCGTGCAGCACGAGTTTTGCTTCTTAGCCTAATCAAATTGTCAGCAATTATGACCGTTGTTTCGGGGTCCTGCCAGAAGCTCACCTGGGTGTAGAACATCTTGCTCTGTGCACTCAGCCCCTCGCTCTTCTGGACCAAATCGTCCAGCTTCTCTCCACGCTCCAACACACTCTCAAGAGTCTTGTGTAGTACGACCTTTGTTTCGTCAAGCTCCCGCTGGATCTTGATTGTGGCGTCGACGGTTTCCGGGTCCTGGTACTTCTCCACGTATTCTTTGAGTTCGGGATACGACAATTTGGCGGCGTCGGTCGTGAAACCGCTATAGGCAGAGCGGGGGTATTTGGCGGAGAACTCGTCAAGGACCTTGCGGACAATGCGATGTGCGGCACTGCTGGGGTATTCATCGTCGGTCACGACAACAGCGCATATGGGGTCAGCGGAAGCCAAGGCGTGGAACTTGTGTCCTGTGCGTAGTGTTAGCACAGGGCGACCTGAAAGACGACCATACAGTACCATTTTCCAAGACATCCGTCATCTTATGTGGAGGTGTCCTTTTGGCAACCACGGCCGAAGCAAATACAATCTGCGCTCGCCGTAAGCATGTGCGTTCCCATGCGCTCTGTCTCGTGCCCGAGAGCATAGTTGGCGTGAAAGCGATTCTAACGTACGCCTTCTTTGACACCCTTTTGTACCCATCGGTTGATCGATTTGAGGTTCTCCGCGCCCGTCAGTTCGATGGCATCTTTGGTGTCGTTCTTGAAAACCTGCATCTTGTCAGCGACCCCGGGGGCGTTGTACGGCGGGCAGCGGTGAAGGGTAGGACGTACGCCAATGTAAACGAGCTTCATTGCGGCGATTTATTGCCTGGCGGCGACGATATTGTAGGTGAAGGTTTAGAAAAGAGCTTTGTGTGGAAGAGTAGGTGATATATGGTGCCCCGCAACAGTATACGGGGAGAATGCGATGTCTAGGATGCGCCTGATGTAGCGCTCCGTCCGTCTCATGCCCAAGGCGACAGGGTAATGCTCTGCTTATGTCATGGCGCCTGTGCAGGGGGTGCGGGGCAGGTCGGGCCGAGACCAACCGCTCCACTCCACCAGCGCCAGCGTCATCCCCAATCTCGCCAAGCCGTGAATCAGAGGCCACCACCTTTACTTCCGCCGCATCAAGCATGTCGCCCGCTGTTGAAGAAGCCCAGGCACAATGGCTCGAACAGCTCCATGCCATGCGCAAGGCTATTGCCGAGCTGGGTTTGCCGGCTGATGCTGAAGAGGCACCTGCATATGGTCATGACATTGATTTCGACGATGACGACGATTTCTCCGGAACTACCAGTGGCGAGGATATCTGGGACATCATCAGTGATGAATATGAAGAGGGGTACAGCAGCGACCATTTGGACGAATTTACGCAAGTGTCCGCTGCAAGCAATGCTCACGATGGGCAATGGCTAGCGGCAAAGTGCTCTCAAGTGGCTCGCAGTAGTTCTGGTCTGGACGCAGGAGCGCTCAAGGAACAAATAATTGCTATTTTGTCCAGCGACAGCAATGGTTAGCCTGGGTAGGACCGATTTCAACCCGCCATAAAAGCTAACTAGAAACAGACGAAGAATTACAAATGATGCTCGCAGACATTGTTGGTTATGGGGAGCTGGACCTCGTGGCTGACCTCATTTCTCACCGTCAGAGCCTTCTGCGGTCGCTGCGGGAACCAGCTGCTGCCCAAGGAAATGGTGTCATGGGCCGCTTGCAGACTCGTGCCGAGCGAGAGGAAGCATTGCGACGTGCAGATTGGGAGCACAAGAATGCTTCGTTGGCACCAGCCATGGATCGTACTGGACCTCAGTACCCTCATGTATACAAGGCTCATGACGCCGGGAATAAGCTCTCAGCTTATGGCAAGAAGTATGCCCTACCTCCAGACACGGTACATCGTGACAATAATCTTTATGAGGAGTATGAGATCCCAGCTGTACCGGTAGGTACAATCGGCGCAGGACGCAAGCTTATCGAGATTCGAGAACTGGACGGTCTTTGCCAACGCACCTTCAAAGGCTACAAGACCCTCAATCGCATGCAGAGCTTAGTATACCCTGTTGCATACAAGACCAGCGAGAACATGCTCATCTGCGCGCCCACTGGTGCCGGTAAGACGGATGCAGCCATGCTTACTATTCTCAACACGGTAGCAAAGAACGTCGTTCCAAATCCCATCGACGAGCCAGAGGCCACTGACTTCACCGTCATGGCGGAGGACTTCAAGATTATCTACGTAGCACCCATGAAGGCACTCGCTGCAGAGGTGACTGAAAAGCTCGGAAAGCGCCTCGCGTGGTTGGGTATAAAGGCGCGAGAACTCACAGGTGACATGCACCTCACCAAAGCCGAGATCCTCGATACACAAATCATCGTCACTACCCCCGAAAAGTGGGACGTTGTTACAAGGAAGAGCACCGGTGATACCGAGTTAGTTCAAAAGGTCCGACTCCTCATCATAGATGAAGTTCATATGTTGCACGATGAGCGTGGTGCTGTTCTCGAAAGCTTAGTAGCGCGCACTCAACGACAAGTCGAGAGCACACAGTCGCTTATTCGAATTGTTGGTCTCTCGGCTACACTGCCCAACTATGTCGATGTGGCTGATTTCCTTCACGTCAATAAGATGGCTGGACTGTTCTACTTCGATGCCTCATTCCGTCCAGTACCATTGGAACAACACTTCATCGGCGCCAAGGGCAAGCCCGGTACCGCTAAATCTCGGGAGAACCTGGAAAAAGTTGCATTTGACAAGGTTGTGGAGATGCTTAAGCTCGGTCATCAAATCATGGTCTTTGTGCACTCAAGAAAGGATACCGTAAAGACAGCCAGGAGATTGTATGACATGGCCATGGAAGAGCAATGTACCGATCTCTTTGACCCACAGGATCATCCCCGATACGAGAACGCTGTGCGGGACATGAAACAGTCAAAGGGCAGAGAGTTGAGGGAGTTGCTTGGAAAGGGAATGGGTACTCATCATGCTGGTATGCCTCGGTCTGATAGGAACTTGATCGAACGTCTTTTTGCAGAAGGCGTCCTCAAAATTCTCTGCTGTACCGCCACACTTGCTTGGGGTGTCAATTTGCCTGCTGCAGCAGTACTCATCAAAGGAACCCAGGTCTACAATGCCCAAGAGGGTAAGTTCACGGATCTCGGTATCCTTGATGTCTTGCAGATCTTCGGTCGTGCTGGCCGACCTCAATTTCAAGACAGTGGTATCGGGTTCATCTGTACCACACACGATAGACTCGATCATTACATGCGCGCCGTAACCGAGCAACAGCCAATTGAGTCGAGGTTCTCTAGTAGACTCATCGATAACCTCAATGCCGAGATATCCTTGGGCACGGTCACGACTGTTTCTGAAGCTGTTACTTGGCTTGGATATTCGTATCTATTCGTCCGCATGCAAAAGAGCCCGTTAATGTACGGAATCGAGTGGTCAGAGATACGTGATGACCCACAGCTAGTTGGAAGGAGGCGCAAACTCATCATCGACGCAGCGCGTACCTTGCAAAGAAGCCAGATGATCATCTTCAACGAGACCACTGAAGACTTACGAGCCAAAGATGTTGGCCGCATCGCGAGTCAGTACTATGTGCAACAATCAAGTATCGAAATCTTCAATGCGATGATGCGACCTCGTAGTACAGATGCCGATGCCCTCGCCATGGTTAGTATGAGTGGCGAGTTCGATCAGGTGCAATCACGAGAAAGTGAGGAGAAAGAACTGTCGGCACTCAAAGAAAACAAATACGTGATAACTGAAGTCAAAGACGGCTATGCGACATCACACGGTAAAACAAACTACCTACTCCAAGCACACATTTCCAGAGCGCGGTTGGAAGACTTCACTCTCGTATCGGACACTAACTACATTACACAAAATGCCGCGCGTATTGCACGTGCATTGTTCATGATAGCGCTTAATAGGCGTTGGGGTTATCAGTGCTTGGTGCTTCTGAGTCTTTGTCAATCCATTGAGCACCGATGTTGGTCTTTCCAACATCCTCTCCACCAATACGAACTTCCGCAACCGGTTCTGCGAGCCCTGGACCACAAGAATCCCTCGATACAAATGCTGAGGGACATGGATCCGACTGAGATTGGAGACATGGTGCACAACAAGAAGATGGGAAATGTGATCTCAAAATTGATGCAAAATTTCCCCACGCTAAGCATTGAGTCGGAGATTGCACCGTTGAACAGGGACGTACTTCGAATACGATTGTTTCTCACACCCGACTTCGTGTGGAATGATCGTCATCATGGCACTTCGGAATCATTCTGGATCTGGGTTGAGAATTCTGAGACGTCTGAGATTTTCCATCACGAATTCTTCATCCTTTCAAGGAAGAAGTTGTACGACGACCATGAACTAGACTTCACGATCCCACTTTCTGATCCGCTCCCGACGCAAGTCTATGTTCGCGCTGTGTCCGACCGCTGGTTGGGAGCGGAAACTGTGCACCCGATATCATTCCAACATTTGATCCGGCCTGACACGGAGAGCGTCTACACGGATCTCCTAAACCTTCAGCCTTTGCCAATAGCGGCGTTGAAAAATCCCTTGTTGGAAGAAGTCTATGCACAGCGCTTCCAGTACTTCAACCCCATGCAATCGCAAATTTTCCATTGCCTCTACCACACGCCTGCAAACGTCTTACTTGGGTCGCCTACTGGCAGTGGCAAGACTGTTGCTGCTGAGCTAGCAATGTGGTGGGCATTCCGTGAGAAGCCAAGCTCAAAGGTCGTTTACATCGCTCCAATGAAAGCGCTTGTTCGAGAGCGAGTACAGGATTGGGGGAAGCGCCTAGCAGGGCCAATGGGCCTGAAGCTCGTCGAGTTGACAGGTGACAACACGCCAGATACACGCACTATTCGAGATGCTGATATTATCATTACAACTCCCGAGAAGTGGGATGGTATCAGTCGTAGCTGGCAGACCCGTGGTTATGTTCGTCAAGTCAGCCTGGTCATTATCGATGAGATCCACTTATTGGGCGGTGACCGTGGTCCGATTCTAGAGATCATTGTGTCGCGCATGAACTACATCGCTTCACAAAAGAAAGATGGTTCCATTCGTCTGCTTGGTATGTCAACTGCATGCGCGAATGCATCAGATCTCGGCAACTGGCTTGGTGTCAAGGAGGGCCTTTTCAATTTCCGGCACTCTGTCCGTCCAGTTCCCTTGGAAATCTTCATCGACGGCTTCCCAGAGCAGCGAGGGTTCTGCCCACTCATGCAATCCATGAATCGGCCCACATTCCTCGCTATCAAGGCCCATTCTCCAGAGAAACCAGTCATTGTCTTTGTAGCGTCTCGAAGACAAACTCGTTTGACAGCTCGAGACTTGATAAACTTCTGCGGAATGGAGGATAATCCTCGCCGCTTTCTGCGCATGTCAGAAGAAGATCTGGCTCTCAATCTAGATCGCGTTCATGATGATTCATTGCGTGAGGCGTTAAGCTTTGGTATTGGTTTGCATCATGCAGGTCTTGTCGAGTCGGACCGCTCCCTGTCGGAAGAGCTTTTTGCAAACAACAAGATCCAAATCCTAGTTGCTACTAGTACGCTTGCTTGGGGTGTCAATCTCCCCGCTCATCTTGTTGTCGTTAAAGGCACTCAATTTTTCGACGCAAAGACCGAAGGATACAAGGACATGGACCTGACAGACGTCTTACAAATGCTGGGTCGCGCTGGACGCCCGCAGTTTGACGACTCCGGTATCGCACGAATTTTCACGCAAGACGCCAAAAAAGAATTCTACAAGCACTTCCTACATACTGGCTTTCCTGTCGAGTCATCAT